AAGTATGTTTTCGTCCATCGTAAAATACTAAAATAAAAACGGAAATTCTGCAATAATACAGATTACCTACGTATATATATTTGTAAAATATTTAATTATTATTTATTTATTTACAAATTATTTAAAAACATTGAATTATTCTAAAATATTTAAAATAAAATTAGCATCAGGTCATTCAAGATTAAATAAAACGTACACATATGTCAAAAACTTTCCAATGTTATAACTACATAAAAATATTTATTTAAATTAAAATCCGTTCTTTAGGTGTAACGCTGTGTCTGATGTGCAGAACACATATAATATATCATCGTTTGCGGGCGCGAAAAATTAAACGGTAGCCATCATCTGTATCTCCGTCAAGCGTTTCGTCGTTTCTCCGAACAACGGCAGTTTAAATCGTGTTTACGACTTTGTCCCGTCGTCCGACAATCAACTATCGTTATTGCCGTTGTACGATTGTGCACCACACTAACCCTGACAGGACTGTGTAAACGAGCGCAATCGATGTATGATGAATTTTTGATCGACGACGTGCGTTAGGCAACTGTCGAGATATAATAAGGTACGGACAAGAGATCGGACGAAACACGCGTACTCACACCAGTGTCATATATAAGGGTAGGAGGCCTAGTGGACTACAGCCCCCTTCCCGAAATGTTTTAAAAAACTTAAAAATTATCTTAGTTAGTAATTCTTAGATAGCAGTGGTAATTTTACTCTGTCCGTAGTAGCCCCTCTCGAAAATATTTTCTGTTTACGCCACTGGCTCACACGATCGTTCGTTCGTCGCGAACTGAATACACCCGTCTCGACGGCGAACGCGTTTTTCTGGAAATAACGCTATTGTTTTTGTTCGCACTACGGACGCAGGCCCGTCGTAAGATATTTTCCTCCCTAAAGCGAAAATTTTAATGCTGCTCTTAAGATACAAATTAAATAGTTACATGCAAAATATTGCGATTAAAATTTTTTTATAAATGTATTGATTCGATTGATTTAAGTTGCTGTCTTTTTTGGAAATTTAATATTACAATTTGCCGCCTCAATTTCTTTAAAATGACATGCCGCCCTAAAGCAACGCATGGCTTGCTTGTACCCTAGCGACGGGACTGGACGGACGACAACGATTTGCCGGCCACTATTGTGCGGGGGAAAAAATTCAACACTTCGCGGACGATGCGCGCGAGCACGGTCCTCACCCGGTACACCCATTGATCGAATCAACATCATAATACGAGCGCGCATACGCCTACCGTGTGTGCAATACGACGTTAATTATGGAAAGCGAATGCGCGCCTGTGCAGGTAATGAGGAAGAAACGGGTTGAGCGTAATTTGTACACGTCCCCGACACGTCGCACGAAACGTGCGTGTACATAATAAGTAACAATAATAATGATAATAAGACCTGCGAGAAGCTGCTAATGCGCAACAACGAATGATATTATACATCAATCGAGGGATAATTAATAGATGGATCATTCGTTTTGTGACTCTGTACTTTTTTTCTTTACACCCGATCATCGAGCAGCACAGTTCGCGGTCGCACTACGTATATACAGCACTTGTATTTGTACGCTTATACAGGTATACCTGTACACCGTAAGGATATGATATACATCAAGACAGCGGTTGTCTACTTAGAGTCCGTAGACGACTGGACGGTGTGTTGCGAGGCGGGAACGCGCGTGAAAACATACAATAATAGATAGGTACTAAATGTACCGCGGTAACGTCGGTCAATCATTCATTCGAAGCGTATGTGTTGCGAGCATAATGCATAAGTACCCGACGTTGGATAGATATTTTTATTTGATCGGACTACAATTATTACCAATGACCGATGCGGCGTGCGTATATGTAGGTTGAGCAGTTCAATAATACGTAATGTACAGCGGTGTTCAATTTATGCGTATTATTTATATTTATACCAAAACAATTGTATTGTGTACACGTAGAAACAGTGGCATATTGTAGGCGTGTACGTGCTCAGCATACACTTCAAAATCAGTTGCTATTAAACAGGTATTCATTGTTTTCATTTCTTTGCACGGTAAAAATAATAAGTTTTCAATACTGTTATAACTTGGTGCGGTTAAAATTTAAAACCCGATTGAGATACGGTTTTTGTTTGGAAAACTATAAGTGCTAGTCATCGTTTTGACTATGTGACGTAACTACCGATAATACCCAATAATAGTTTTTATAAATTCATACACTGCAGTATACAGTGCACGCAGTATGTATTTTGTCGTTTGCATTCTCGCGTAGTAGAAAAATATGTTTTCAATTAGAAATGTCTTATCGACGATACAGAAAAAAAAACAGGTAAATTTCATTGCATTACACTCATAATACTCGAGTATGCATATACCTATACGCTATCGGTTATTCGACCGCGTATACAGGTTTTTTGTGCCTATGTATTTTGAATTGTTCATTCACTGCAGATTATGATATAAATAATGTATATATTATTAACCCAAATTATTGTAATAATTGATAAGCTATTTCAATATTTCAATCCATAAAGTTTGATTTTTAAAAATCTTATAATAATAATAAAATAATATATAATCTATAATAAACATGGTGTGGAATCGTGCAGTCAAAAAATCATTATTAAAGCATTTTGGTTCTCTTAGTTTTAATAAAAATAAAAAATTAATTATACTGGTGGCAGGAAGATCAAAACATCAAAATTACCTTATTTGATGACAAAATCTAAAAATTATATTCCAATATATAAATATGAATGTTGCGGTACTTTTAAGTGGTTATTAGTTTGAAAGAAAAAATAAATAAATTGTCGGCCTTATGTTTTTTTTTCATCAATCAAAAATTTCGTAATTATTCACAGTTCATTGTAACATAAATAAATTTGATTAAAATTTTAATTTTTGAAAACAGAAAAGGGGGTGTGGATCATCTCATTCGAAGATGAAGCCTTCAGGGTTTACTAAATATTGTCCACGCATGCACTATTTGAAACCCACGATACGCCACTGCATAGAATTCTATGTTTAAACGATGTAGAACTTATCGAATATTTAAGTTACTGTTGCATCAATGTACACATAAAAGTATTATCGTTTTTAGTGAGCATGTAACTTAGGTAATTGCTTAGGGCCTCGAGCAAAAAATAAATTCGGGGGCCCACAATTGTGGGGTTTAATTAATTAATAATAATAAATTAATTAATTGTCAGGTTAGAATAGTTAGATAAATGTTAATATAAAAAATTGTACTGCTTTTATCTAGTGACCAATGCTTGTGACGGCACCGACTATCACCGTACATATATATTGTAGTTAAATATAAATTTATATTATCTGCAATGATTGTTGTACATATATTCATATTTTTATTTATATTTTTATTTTTATCGTTAACACGGTATTAATTTGCGTGACGTTCAAGAAAATATGTTAAAAAATAAAACACCATAATTATACACGCACCCCTCATGTTCTATCCGTGAAAGTTAAATACACGCATAAATATTTGTATAATTGTTATTGATTTCCTATTATATACAGGTATATATATATATTGTGTGCCACCTGCCGTACGGCGTTCAGGAAAGACATTTGCTCATTCGTTCATAAAAATAAAAACCTGTTTCTTTCTCCTTTTGTTTTTTTATTATTATTATTACTTTTTTTTTATTATATTATTATATTCTTAAACCAAATTTTTGATCAAGATATAAACAAGAATTTGTCTTCTGTCACTGTGTGTGCATAATTTTATGATTATAATATAATAATAATAATATATTATAATAAAATGTAGGTATAAACATATTATGTATACTGAATATTTAACATGATACACTCTACTATACGAATCCGTAGTATATAATGCATTCACGCTTAATTTGTAATGAATGAACGAAAAAGTATACGATTTAAATATATTTAAATGTTTTACATTTATTATAATAATGTTTTTAAGCGGAATGATTTGTAAAACGATAAATCCTCACCAACGGCAATTTATTTTATTGACCAATTATTTAAAAATTAAATTCAAGCCGTTTTATCCGTCACATTTTATAATATCTCAAAGTAAGATACGTATTTTAATATTTTTATCGTATCATAATTGTGCAAGAATTTTATAATTGAAAAAACATTTACCATATTTTTTATTAGACATAAAAAACGAGCAACTTTATCTTCTCTATATTTGTTCTACAATGTGTATTTTAAGATTCATAATTTATTTTTAAATTATTTTAGAAATATTATTTCACTACACGGTATCATTAATATAATTAATAAACGTATAAGAATTAATAATTAAAATTATTTTATAATAAAAAAAAAAATTTAATCCGTTAAGTGGTATTTTTCGAAATTTCAGACGCAGGCATTCAGTTACCATTATATTTATTTTATGCAGTTTTTTTTAACAAAACATTTTATTGTATTGTTAAAAAAATAATCTAAGCAATATTCATACGTACGTAATCCGAAAAAACGTTTATATTTATACGTGTACGTATAATATTATGCATAGTGCAATTGTAATAAACTCAAGTACGAGGTATACCTCGTAAAATTAAATACCTCGTAAATTAATTTAAATCGATTGTTCGCATTAAATATTACAAAAGCCACGAAAAAAAGTATACCATAAAGATGATCGCGGTTAAATTATTCGAGTAGAACTAAAATATTTTGTAAATTCGGAAAATCTGTGCGGCTGAACGTGACAACACCCACCGTAGTTGTTTTTAAAAAAAAGGAAAAAAAACAATAGTCACTCAAACGTGTAGCAGCGAATATAATGAATTCCAATAACGTATACGTTATAGAGCCTATAGAGCCTCTCGCAAGTTATAAACTTTTTTCGTAAAAAACGTCTGTAAAAAAAACGAATGATATACGGTACGACGGTACAAAACGATATGTATACGCAAAACAGTGCTGTACCATTTCATTAGATATAAGCGCGCGTGCAAAAAACATTAGTCGGATCAGATGTGCTTACCTGTTCTTGGCCGCGGCCGCCCGGTCGCGTTGCCTGCGGTTCTTGAACCAGTTGCCCACCTGGGTGGGTGTCAGCCCGGTGGCCTGGGCCAGTTCCTTCTTCTTGGTGGGGTTCGGGTACGGGTCCTGGAGGTACCACTCGCGGAGCAGGCTGCGCGTGCGCTCCTTGAAGCAATGGGTCTTCTGCTCGCCGTCCCATATGGTCCGGGGCAGCGGGAACTTCTTGCGAACGCGGTACTTGTCGACGGGGCCCAACGGCCGGCCGCGCAGCTTCTCGGCCTCCTGGTAGTGCGCCTCCAGCCACATGGCCTGCAGCTTGCCGTGCGAGTCCTTGGTGAACTTATGGTGCTCGAGTATGGTGTACATGTCACGGTAGTTGCCGCTGTGGAAGGACACGATGGCGCGGGCCCGGAGCACGGCCTCGTTCTTGTTCAGCTCGACGATGTTCGGATGGGCGACGGGCAACGACCACAGGAACCGGGCGAGTCGCTCGATGTCGCCGCTGTCCTCGAGCGTCTCGCACACGCTGGCCACCTGGGACACGCTGAAGTTGAGCATGGGCAGACCGAACATCGGGTTGGGCACCATGGGCGGCATGGGCGCGAGCCGCGTGGCCAGCGGCGTGACCGGGCTGCTGACCGGGCTGACCGGCGAACCCCGTCCCGACGACGAGTCGGTGGGCGTCGAAGATATGCCCAGTGCCATCGCGGTGTGTATCTCACATGCCACGCGCGAACACCGGGGCCGCGAACCGTTACGCTTGGCGGCGGCGTTTGTCGTTTGTTGCGCGGAACGTACCGAAACCGACGACGACGACGTGCGGCGCGATCGAACCGGAGACGCACTTAGAACGGACGCGGTGTTCACACGTTACCGGGTTAGTCGGCGCACGGGTACAACGGGGCGAACGCGCGCGCGTGTTCCGTACACGGTCGAGCGGTGCGAATGCGGCGGCAGCAGCGGCGGCGGCGGCGTCGTACGTGTGCACTGCGCGCGGCTGTACGGCGATGTGCGTGCGCGCGTGCGGTGCGTTTACGTGTGTGCCGGTTCGTCGTCGTCTGGTGCGTGCGTGCGTATCGTCCGGGAGGGAGGGGGATATCGTTTGCGTCAGATCATCGGTGTATCGTTGACCGGCCGAATACTACTGGTGCGCCGCGGCCGCCGGCGGACGGTGTCGTTGCCGCTCCTCCTACCGCCGCCGCCGCCCCGGACGACGGTGACACTCGCGCGCCGCCGCCGGACGCCCGTGGCCCCGCCCATGATTAGCCGCCCGTCGCCATGGCCACGGCCAATCCGGCGCGGGCGTATCCCGTACGCCGTCCCCCCCTTCACCGTATAGGTTACACCGCGGCGGTGGCGGGCGCTCCGCGCAGTGATTGATATACGGCTCGGGTGGGGATTTCCACAAACAAAAACCGTGTTCGGTAGCGCTCGCAACCACACCTATGCACACGAGTAGGCGCGCGCGCACGCACCCGCACGTACACGCCGCCGCCGCCGCGTTGCGCGAGACTGTGTGCGCGTGTCTGCTACGGTCTGGCCGGTGTGCGTGCACATAAAATACCTGCCGTACGTGTTCCGTGTCCCTCGCCGCAGAACGACCCTGCGACGACGGTACACGCCGCCACCTCCACGCGTCCCTCCGGACAACGGTTGTCGTATTATTTTCGTTATTAAATAAATCGCGCGTTTCGTTTTCCCTTACTACGCGTAGGGTTGTCGCCAGATTTCGAAATCCAGGACATCAATACGAACCTTCCCACCCCATCTTCGCGCTCGCATGGAAAACGAGTAGGTTCGCTTCGGTCGCAGTATTTATTAGCCAACACGAAGACGCGTTATTAACTATACCGATTCGATTTGGTCATTTGCGACAACCGTAACGCGTCTGTTCCCGGCGTACGACGATGGTGTTTTATTGATCTCGAAGAAAATAAAACCAGCATCTATGGGCCAGTGGCGTAACTGGGTAAAAATCTAGGGGGGGGCAATATAATACATTTATTGTTACCAAAACCCCGACACCCCTCCCCCTCACCATTTAAAACATATTTTTATTGTATGTATTTTATACATTTTTTATTGTATGAATTTTATACACTATATCTAATTATTTTATTTTACATAAGTCTCATTTTGTGGTTTAGATTAACATCAATTGTAGGTAGCAGGTATTAGATACCAATATTGTTAAATAATACCCATAAGAGTTCATTAATAAAAGGTGCTGTTTGTACTGTTGGATTATCTGGGGGGGCAAAATTATACATTTATCTCTCAAAAATTTGTCAGGGGGGCACTTGCTCCCTCCCACAATTACGCCACTGTCTATGGTTACAGTACAATTAAACGTATGAACATTTTTTTTTTTTTTTAAATCATTTTTATAATTTTTAAGAAGGCTATCGTTTTAGTGTTGTCTTCGGTTTTCGGTCCCAATGCATGTCCTGGATCGGGTCTGTTTTGAAGTTTTGACGTTCACGTTCATATTTACGGCATTCGATTTTGATATGTTCAACAGTCATTATTTTTTTGTTTATTTTTTTTTTTTATTTGTCTTTGTTCGCACATTACAGCTACAACAGTCAGTTCAACACCGCAAACTTCACACGTGGGAACTTCTTCATTTTCCATCAGGTATATCCGTGCACATGTGTAAGTCATGCGTGTCCTATTCTCATTCGGTTTAATATACCTAGATCTTTTTTAAAAGTAAACAGAATCCCCCTTTTCATTAATTTTGCTAAGTCAAGTACTGCGTGTACCTAATCATCAAATAGTGTAATTTTAAAACCGTCTCTTGAATATACATATATAAATATGATATCAGTGGCGTATATAGGGAGGGTTCCTAGTGGGCTATAGCCCTCCCCCCGAAATGTTTTAAAAAACTTAAAAATTAATTTAAACGTTTTTTATATTTTAATGGTGCTTTATGCTTATTTAGAATTTACGTCCAACGTCAAATCGTTTTGGGACATCCTGTAAATGAAATATAGTTAACCACTGTGCATTTATTTGTTCTAACAATGTTACCAGGCAGTTCAATGAAACATAGAACATCGCAATTTTTGTTAATTTTGCGTTAAAGAAACGTCTATGTAACTGTAAATGTTCCGCATTGCTGTCTTTCAATTAACGTCCTTTACACATTTTTTTTTTTTTTACTAGAAATATACAATCTGTACCCGTAGGCACAATAAGAATATGTGATAATAGATTTTTTTTAACATGAAATACGTGAGGGAAAAAGCCATCTAGTGATAATACTACCTTTTTTTTGAATTTGTTTTTATTTTTCAATTTTTTTTTTTCTATTATTCACTAAGGAAGTCTCTGCACCAGTTTCTTTTAAGTCGTCGTGAAAGATTACCAGGAATTGTACGAGTGGCTAGATATGAAATGAGGAAGTTGGGATGGGAGGGGAATCTGTTATGAAAACGTTTATAGAATATAATTGCTTCAGCGTGAACCCTTTTTATTTTTAAATCTGTGTGTAAAGTAGAATTGGACACATATGGTGGGGCATTAGTGATTGTGGTGCGTAAGATTTTATTTTGAAAGGTTTGTATTTCGTTTATATTAGATTTTTTTTGCATTGCCTCAGAGTTGGAGGCCATAAGTCCACATCGGCCTAATTAAGGATTTGTATATGAGTAGTTTGGTGTTTAATTTGTTGTGTTTATTAGATATTAATGTCTTAAGCGAGCGGAGGTGTTCATTTAGAGATTACATTTATAAACTTTTAATTTAAGAGTGAGGAACGGATTGGTGGAATAGCACTAGCAGTCAGAAGTATTGCTGAGTGATCCGAAGTGGGTTCGAGAAGATTAATAGTCGTGTAGAATATGTTATACGATGTTTTTATAACAAAAATGTCTAAAATATCCAATTTTTTGTGTAGGGAGGTGGGCCAGTATGTTGGACCTGGTGGAGCTTGAATATTGTAGCCTTTTTGGTTTATAAAGTTGTGAAAGACCATGCCTCCAGGATTATTTGTACGACAGCCCCAACTATAATGCTTAGTATTGTAATCTCCACCTATATTATAAAATTATGATTAAGAGTGCTAAAGAAATCGATATAATTTTGGATAGTTATGCTATGACGTGGTGGGGACCATATTGTTGTTATATTAGTTGGAATGTTATTTAGATGTAGTAATATGGTACAAGACTGTAAATAGGGTTGGCAGAAGTTTGGAAGAGTTTGGAATAATAAGGATTTAACGTAAATCACAGCACCTCCATAAGCAGTATTTTCTGGGTGATTTGGTTTTAAAAGATTGTACCTATGGGACATCGCGGAAATTTAAACAGGCCGACGACGTATGAAATGCACCACAGCGGACGCAAATTCTATTACATCCCTAATAAAAATTGGTGGGGGTAGAGGAGTTTTAGTTCCAATGTTAATGGATTTTATAGGATTTTGAAGAGCATCAGAAATGTGGGTATCATTCAACTAAGACTTTGAAGATGACTGTACAGAATCGATTTAATCGATTTGAGATAGTATCTCGTAGCGATTAGTGGTAAAGAAAATTTTTTGTTTTTATTTGTCGGTGTTTTTGGCGAGTTTTGTTCAGAATAATTAGAATAGTTCCTTTAACCATAATTTTTTTTTGAATCTATAACTACGGTTCATCTGTCATTCAAGTTATCGTCCATAATATTACCGGCTACTTGAGTACTGATGATAGTCGACTGTTGATTGCGATAGTTTGTATTATTGAAATTATTTTGGTTGTATTTGTGTTTATTATTATTTATGTTGTTTGATTGCAGCATATTAGTGACTAGTGAAGAGGTCGAAGTCGCAACCACCGCGCGACACGGTTACGACATGTGATGTAATGACGCACGATAAAACGAACGCGATAGACGACGTTTAATGACAATATTATAAGAAAGTTAGTATTCCATTTTTCTTATAGGAAAGAAAAATAGCTTTACATTTTGTTATTAAAGACAGATTTTTGCTGACTAAACATAAGTATGTTTAAAAATCAGTTTTACAACTATTTGGTTCAAAAATTGAGTGAAAATAAATATCAGAATTTGATAAAATAAATAAACGAAGGAGGAGCGCAGCGGCTGATGCGTACGTTACGGACGTCACACGTGAACTGTCCTTTAAACATCACTCTAAAAACATCCATCAAACAACCAATTGTAACAAACCTATAATAATAACAATTATTTTAATATTTTTTTTTTAGATACCTTCTTTATAAAATTTAATAATTTATCCCACCAAATTTTAAAGACTTGAATTATATGATTTTGTCTAAAAGAGCTGATATTATCTAATGGGCCATGGGTAGTTTCAAACATAGGAAAGTGATAGAAAATTGATTGAACTGCGCACGGAAAAAAAATAATTTACCGAATTATTTGGTTGAAAGATATTTAGTAGTTGCAATGGTCTAATATTTAGGTCCACCCACTTTTTAGTAATAATTACAAAACCTATTTGATATAGTTACAATATAAGTTCTGTTAATGATATATTTTGAGTACAAACACATTTTTGTTAAAGAAGCATTGAATCTGTAAACAGTACAAAAGTATTTTTGTTAATTTCAAATTGCTATGTTACACAATATGTGTAATGGATCCTATTATTATGGCCGATGCTGATATTGCGGATATGTTGAAGGCTTGGGGCCTGGAACAATATATTGATGTTTTTCAAAGTAAGTACCTAACTATGTAATATGTATCTAAAATTCATTCAAAATATGTAATTATATAATACTTAAAAATATTTATTTGTACGGAATATATTCTGTGTTTTACCTGTCATACAACGATAGATATATAATTTAGATACAAAACAGTTAATTAAGAATTAATGCAGCTGAGTTTAAAACTAATGTTTTATGATTGGTAATGTTAGTTAAAAAAAAAACATAGGTATTTTGTTCCTATATATTTTACTCAAATTTCTCTACTGTTAGATGAAGGCATAGACATTACTTGTTTGAACATTTTAACTGAAGATATGATGAAAGAACTTGTTCCTAAAATCGGTCATAGAGCAAAAATTAAGGCAAATGTAGATGAATGGAGAAAATTACTAGATTTAACCAATGATACTTAAACTACATTTATGATGGTGAGCACAGAAACTTATATTGTAATTATTTCAATTAATTAGGTTAATACAGGGTGATTATTCAAACATATTTTTCTTAACATTTTAATTTTATAATTGAACATGTGATTTAATAAATATTTCTTTATAAATACCTATATTTTAAGCTTCTATAGGATTTGAGGAGATACAGAAATATCTGTTTGATTAGATTAGGTTAGGTACGGTTTCTCTACTCTTCTGCACTTGAAATATTAAAATCATTATAAATAATTTAATTATTTATTATGATAATATTATATATAATACAGTGGAATCTCTATTTAACAAACTTAAAGGTTTTTTTTTTTTAAAATACATTTTTTTTCATTTAAAGAACTCATTTTTAGGGTACACAATTTATGCAAATTCAAATAATTATATAAGTGAAATGTATGAGTATAATATAAATAAATTAAACGAATACATTATAATTATATTAAGAACTTAGGTAGGTACATATGTAAATTGTACATTTTTTTTTTTTTTTTGTCAAAAAACTTTTTGATATCTTGTTGATCAACTTTTGTACTTACCATTTTGACTATAAAAATTCTTGCAATTATTAAAATAATTAAAGAAGTAATCTGTTACATTTGTTACAGTGGTGTGCTAAAATCCTTGATGAAATGTCAACAATAATACTGAATTAATTTGATTTTTTGTTTAAGAGAACATTTTTGAATGGAAAATATTATGTTTCGTTAAATTCGTTTTATTGAGAGTTTTGTTTAATAAAAGTTTGTTTAATTTAGATTCCATTATATAATATTAATTTATACATAAATGGTTTAATATTCAGTTATGTTTTTGATTTAAATTAATGCTTTATTGATTTTGATATAGGACATATCTTCTCCTTTGAATCTTGATGTTGAATCACCAACTACTTCATCATTAGGAAGTGATACAGGTTTTATATTAAGTCCATCAAACTCAAATATTTCCATCACACCTCTTGACTCTTCTGTTAATCAACAGATACTAAGACAAACATCTAATCATCTAATTCAAATCAGATATATGTTCAATACTCAAATGTAGATGTAACATGTCATTCTTCAAAACTGCCAGTAATTATTAACTATCTTATTTAAATATTTGTATTATTTGAATATAATGATTTTGTATTTTAGGGTCAGAATGTACTTAATTATTTGAAAAATTCAAATGAAGGAAAAGCTATTCTGTTCAAGTATAAAGAAAGTGGCTTATTAGATAATTTTGGGAGAAGGCAGCTGTGTAATTTGATTGTACGATAAGAACTTGAAAGCGAACCAGAGAAAATAGTTACAAGTTAGAATAAACGTTATACGTAAAAAATTGTGAACCATATAGAAAACCATAATTAGTAAAAAATTTTTTAAGAAACTGTGATGCTTATCATTATATTTTTGACAAGTTTCAGGATACGCTAAAATTGAACGAATTCATACAAAATTACAAAATTAAGTATTTATAAATAACCTAATCTAGTATATTTGGATGACAAATTCGTAGAATCTCATTTATTTTTTTCATTATTATAAACACTGACACTGCCAACACCCGCGGTGGCTATAATATAGTTGAGTGTTATAAATAAATATCGTTATCTTATAACAAGTGTACCTATCACAGATGTTTCAAATATAACTTAAAACCGACATCGCTGGGATGTTGGAAACATCAAATATTGAGCGGGAAGAGTTTAAATTTACTGCGATGTGCCTCGTATTTAATTTTATACAGGTTTAAACAAACAATTGCTTGTATAGAATTCATATTAAATAAGTTTTTAAATTATAAACAAAAAAAAATATTTAAAATTTAAGAAATAAATTACAATTTTTAATATTTAAATATTTGATTATTGATAATTAATAAATATTAAAAATAATAATGGATCTGGAAGAAATACCAATTCCATGGAATAATGAAAATTATGTACTTTAATTTTACTCACATGTAAACAAGTCAGGCAATTTAAATTGACTTAGAATAAAATCGGTTAAATTTAAGAACGGCTTAACTCTTATCATGTAAACGTAGTAATTGTAGTATGGTACATGTATTTGGCTTTAAATAGCAATTATTTCCTAATCGATCGTTAACAATATTATGGCTAATAAAAATAAATTATCACCCATTCTTGTTAACGACAGAATAGAAAAGTTCAACATAATACGTACATATTTTATTCCAGAAACAGACACGGATCATTTTAGATCTTTAATAATAACACATTAATTTATTTATTTAACGTGTGGTTTATAATCATATGCAATAATGGTAGTATGATAACATACGATGAATTAATATTTAACAGAGAAATACAAATAAAAATAAAACAAAAAGATTTTATATGAGTAACATTATTTGAGAAAATAAATATATAAATCCGTATACATGTGATCGAAATCAACAGAACAGAATACCTACTTGCACGATTTTATCAAAACATGTTACATAATTATTTGAGTAAAACTATATTAAAGGGTTAACCTATAAATATATAAGTATTTAATGCACGTGTATTTATATAGTTTGAACTAACTTTGGAGGCGTAATAATTTAAATTTATATTCGAAAAACCAAGTATACAAATGTATTTAAAATTACTGTTTACAATAAACCGATTAAATATTGCTCATTTAATACATTTTATGAGATTTTATTTTTATTTACCTGTGTATTTATTCTTTTATCCAACATATTTCGATAAAAACCCGTATTTAATTCTATTAGCGGATATCTATAATAATATATAATCGAACATTTATATTTTCATATATTATACATTAAATAACATTGTATAATATTTTTTACTTGTTAACAAGTTTAATACAATTAATTAGTGCACCAATAGTAATGCAACACAACTGCAGCCGTAAGCTTTTAGTCGATGTTTAGGAAAAAACAGCAATGGGATTTTTAAACCTAGAACCCCTTTTGATTCAAAATTATAAATAATACGAACACGAGTGGACGATGTGTTTATGTGATAATAAGATGTGCATGTATTCTTACGCCTGAAATACGCCATTCGTGCAACCCTACATACACCGAACGACGACGACTCGGACGGGAGATGAATGTTTAACATTACGGGGAATAAGGAATAAGAGTTTACGCACAGGAGTGGGGAACCTGAAGTTAGTTATTAGAGGAAAGGGATGTCTCTGCAGTCAGGTCTATTTAGTGCAATGACCACAGAGCGCACACGAATCGGAAAAATAATCACTGATACTAAACACTCGGGACACAAATTAACTAACTATGGTAGACGATGATGAAGATGGTAACACTACGATTGACGGTAACCATGCTGGGTATTGGTGAACTTATGCTAGTTGGAGACCAGACCACGGAGATGACGATGAAGAAAAGAAAGACCATTTACAGAACACGTAAATAGCAATTTAAATTAATAAATATAACTCGCAATACGGTGTGATTTGGTTGCTGGCAATAATTTTTTTTTGGTAGCTCGTCACAAAAATGTTTAATAAGAATGATAATAACTGCCGCCCGCGATGGCAAAGGGCGATACAAATTATTTTTTATGTGTTCCGTAATGGCAGACGATGATCAAAGATACATGAATTTTCGAAAAAAAAATAATATGTTGCTGTAATAGCGAACGGAGAACGACAGACGTAAAAAAATATTTATATGTAAAATATTAATAATATTTAAATATATTTAAATATATTTAGAAAGGTCGAGAAAAACTCGTTCAAAAAATGGAAAATTCGATGTCCCGCACTCGTAATGTGTACATCTAATTGATAATTACGATTTTATTAAAAATCTAAATAAATTCTTAATCGTTTTTGTTCCGAAAAGTGTTGAAAAAACTAAAAATTTTAAGTGCTTTTTAACAAAAAAAAAAAAAATCGCCGTCCGTAAGCATCAAAGTACGAGCCGGAGTTTTTGTTTTTACCTGAGCCACCGGCTCAGTTTCTTTCTATAAATTAACATTTTTTAATTTCAAGGTAAGATATAAACTTTTTATTAATATTTTTTATTAATATTCATAAAACATCTGATTTAATTTTGTATTTAACTTGAAAATGTGTTGTTATGGTATTTAGATTATAGTTAAAAAAACTATATAAAATAATAAATCCTCGATGTTTCGTCTTTAGTTGGTCATTCGCACGAATAACCGTTAAAGAATTTATTACCAGTATTAATCTGAACGATTAAAACTTTTTGTCGAACCGTTCATATTTAACGAGATAATACTGTGTCAAATAATAATGGATTTGAAGAGGAAAAGAAAGTCTGATAACATAATTCAGAGTTTTTCTAAAAAACGAAAAGTGGCAGTACCCTCTAAGGATTTGAATAATCGACGCAGACGTCAAGATAATAAAAATGAATTGATTCATAAGGTAAAAAGCAATATTATAAATATGGTCTTCTGATAATAATTAATATTTAGAATATGAGGTATCAGTAAATACAATTAATTTATCATTTTCAGACCGTAAGTGAAGCAAATACAAAAAAGCCAAGATATCACTTAAATATATTCAAAAATGAACCAAAACCTTTACCGTATAATAATGCCTTTGAGCTTTATAAAAGTGATCCGCCAAAAGAAAAACACTCGATTAAAAACTTAGATCAGTGGAATTGTATAACAGGATGGCGGCACGTAGTGTATGAGAATGAATATGAAAAACGTGTAACGCAATATCAAAAGAAGATGGAAATATTTTTAAAATCTCTATCTCCTGAAGATTTAGAGTTATATTTTAAGTTGAAAATACTGGAAACTAAAACAAGCTATGGTGCTGACAGTAAGCGTGACTCAGAAAATGATGATAGTAGTTCATCTGAAGATGAATGAAATGTATATAAGTATAGAAGTATTGTAATATATAAGTATATAAGTTTTGGAGAATTTTCAATTTTGAAATCCATGGTAGAGATTCGACAGTTCAGCACTTGGCTGTTCATCTAGAAAATGGACAGCGTGTTTTCTTTAATACTAATAACCTTCATCAAGTTATTGAAAATCCAAGAAAAACGACACTAACTGCATTTTTTGAACTGTGTTCACATGATGATTTTGCGAAAACACTGTTCTATCATGAAGTTCCTTCTTATTATACCTGGGATGATAGCAGAGGCTGGTTAAAGAGAAGACGGGGAAAAGATGTTCCAGGTTGGCCAGGAATAAAAATGGACACTGCCATTGGTAGAATTTACATGATAACTAATGATGAATATTATAAATATAAATACAAATAAAGATCTTATATTTATATTTCTAGAACATTCGATGTCCTGCACTCGTAATGTGTGCATCTAATTTAATTGATAATTACGATTTTATTAAAAATCTTAAAAATTCTCTCTCAAGTTGACAAAGATGATCAAATTGAGTCAATGGGCGAAGACGTCCCAGCTCCATTAGAAAAAAATTCACCACCAATATTTATCAAAACCAAAATAAACGATTTTAGTTCTTTCTGCACTAACATAAAAAATAGAATTGAACCTACAGCCGAATTCACATGCAAAAGCACAATAAACGCTTTAAAACTTCAAACAGACACAATAAGTTCCTTTCGCTCAGTTATAAAATATCTAAAAGAATACAACGTTGATTTTTATACATATCAACTGAAAGACGATAAAGCATACCGCAAAGTGATCCGAAACTTACATCTACCAACAAAAATCGAATTTATCAAAGAAGAACTCGGAAAAAACGGTCATCTAGCGCGTAACATTACAAACGTTTTACAAAATCTAACAATACCCTTTACCATTATTTTTTATCGATCTTGAACCCGCTCTAAATAATAAAGACATTTTTTCGCTAACCTCACTTTGTTACATCAAAGTTAAAGTTGAAGCACCCAAAGCACGTAAACAATTACCGCAATGTATGAATTGTCAAAATTACGGTCATAAACGTCACTACTGCAACAGCAAGTGTTGTTGCGTACGCTGTAGCGAACAACACAGCTCTGAATTTTGTACCAAAAACGGAGATCTTCCGGCCAAATCTACACTATGTGGAGGGGACCATCCCGCAAATTACCGAGGCAGTGAAGTCTTCAAAAACTTACAAACTCGGGGAACCAAACTAATATATCAAATTCAATCAACAAATACTATGTAAATGAACACGTCTTGTCAAATACAAGTATAAACAATAACACAGGTCCAAATGTAAATATTGAATTATCGTATTCCCAAGTACTAAAAAATAAAACCAGTTCTAACAAAAATGACCAATGCCCGCCAAACCAAAGTACCGAGTCTATAAATAACCTAACATCTCAATTGAATACATTCATAAACTACTTAAAATCCATTATAAACCCTCTTATAACTCTTTTAACTCAAGTAATTAGTCAAGTACTTCTCAAAAATAATAATGTCAATTAACTCTAACACCACACCTCCTTTATCGATAATTCTTTGGAATGACAAAACTGACAAAACTCAAGATACCCAATTGACAAAATCGTATTTAACCAGCTAACAAATACTCTAAAAACTGAACTATCCAAACATAGATCCACTAAATTTGAATCGCATCTACAATCTCTAACTCCATCTGATGGCTCGATCTGGCGTAACACCAAAACATTAATAAACCAACATGACACTATACCTCCACTTGTATGCCCAAACAACGAATTAGCGACTTCCGACGTTGAAAAAGCAAATACCTTTGGAATCCAGCTATCTGAAACTTTCACTCCACATCCTCCCATTCTAATAAACAGTAACCATGAAAATACAGTTCATTCTTTTTTGTATGCACCAACATACCAGCCAACTACCTGCCAAACATAAACTGCCGACATTGCCGAATTAAACATAGAGCTAATCAGAAGATTTGGAGTAATTTTAAGGACAATGGTTTGTGGTTGGGCTATAGAAATAAAAATTTTCGAAGAGTATTCATTAAATACAGCAGAACTTTATGTTTCTCTATACATGTGGTATTATATGCCAGCTTCAGTGCATAACATTTTAATACATGATGCAGATGTCATACGTTTTGCCATTTTACCTATTGATTTGTTTGTATATTATTTCATTTAGGTATATGTGTAATTGTTAAAATATCAATAAATAAATAATAATATATGTATAGTTATATCGTATACAATTCAATTATCAGAGGAGGCACAAGAAGCCCGAAATAAAGATTTCAAAAATATTAGAGAGTATCACACACGTAAAATGAATAGAGTAGTACAAAATGAGGATTTATTTAAAATGTTAATTGTATCTTCTGATCCAAATATTTGCAGTTTTAGAATGATTAAGTCAAAAAAAAGTACATGTACTATGCTGCAGCATATGGACAATGATGTTCGGTCACTTATTGAATTGTATCACAATAATGTTATAGAATCTGATTCAAAAGATGATTCAGATAACTCAGAATCGTTTTCGGATTAAGTCATAATTTTTAATGTTATTTTTACTATGATTACGAGTAAACAAAACATTTTAAAAATTCTTGTGGGGGGGATTGCCCCCTCCCTCAAATACGCCACTGATTTAAAGTATATATATATATATAAAAGTATTTATACTTATAACGGAAAATTTTTAAAAAATAAATGCTATCAACAAAAAAAAAATAAAAATAATTGTATAGATACCATTAAACAACCAAAAAAAACTAATAATGTTTGGACGTACAATAATATAAAACTTTATAGTAATTTTATAACGTTTATATATCCAAAAACAAAGAAAGGATGTATTTTTTTTTAATTTAAGCCCCAATATTGTTAAGTGAAATATTTATTTTCTTATAGTCTATGGACTGTGGTACACATAACTTTGCTACTAAATTATAGATTAAAATAATTTTCTATTATTATTTTCCTGCCCTGCACGCTGAACACATAATTTTGTTTAACTCTCTAAAATTACTTCATATCTCCCTCAATCTTTTTTCATACTGAATTCTAACTCTGAATTAATTATTCATAAAATTAATTTTATTTATATTAAAAGCTGGTTTCGTCATATAAAATTGTTGAGCTGTAAAAATGTTTTTATACAAATAACTTTAAAAAAAATTAAAATTTTTTATGTTTTACTCTTGGTTTTATATATTTGTATCATTTTGTATTTCGTTTTAAGAAGCATAACGATGAAAATCAAAAAAATGATGAAAGTGCAAATGCAAGCCAAAAAAAATGAGACAAATTTAGAAGTTATTACTTCATCTGATGCTCAATTTACAGGTATGTAAACATACAAAATATTATGATTTAGCTATAATATATGTAGGAATATATGCTATAAAGAAAATTATATAAAAATATAACATTAAATACCCGTTCATTTCAACAATACTAGATATTTTATAACTGCATACTCCCTACAATGCACACATTAATATTTACAACCAAATTTTGACTTGTTAAATTTTTTTCTGATATAATATGGATCAACTAACTACAAAGAAATATTATTAACATCTATTATAAAAACTGAATACAGGAAACCAACTTTTTGAAATGTATCACACATGATACTTTGTGCAGCTTAAACTTGAAAAATATTTTAGTATAATGAATTTAACGCAGTTTTCTGCATTTTATGTCTTTTAAATTCAACATTTATCGTCGATTCCACTCCGTATCAGGTATCGTTAAATTTATTTAAAATAAATGGTCTAAGCCACAGATGGAAAATAAACGATTTAAAATGTTTATTTGAACTAATAAATGGTAACATTGTTTGTCCTGAACTTGTTTTCTTATTCAATTTGAATATTTTTCAATGTATAAAATAAGGCCTATAAAAATATTTGATGTATTTCCACTAAAAACCAATAATTTATTAAATATGATAGATGGTTAGAATTATTTGTGAAGTTGATGTTATAATATATACGATTTTGTGAGTCAAACGTGAAATCTGGATTGTAGAATAATCGAAGTTTTCCAGTGGTTTTTTTACCGAAATCCCGTTAATATTTAGGTTATTATACGTGTAGGTTATTACTCGGTCATATTTATTAAACTAAAAGTTCACATTATTTTTCAATGGGAGGTCAAGACGTATCGCCGCTAACAATGGCGTTGGCAAGTATTACAGTTCCGAATGCACCTAAATTGCCTATACAGAGTGCCGTATGTCGATCTTCTATGTTGAGAATCGTGATGGTATTTCGATTTACAAAACGATATTCAACGGTTCACATTAGCACACGTATTCAAAATGTTAATTTCTTTGTTCTTCAGCTACCAAACAGTATTAAGATATAATTTAATTATTGCCTTCCGATCCATTTATATTATATGACGTACGTATTGATTAGGAAACGTTCACTTACAGTGTCGACCCAAGAGGGTGGTAAGCGGGGGCCCCACAAATTACGTATTACGAATATCACTTTATCTGTAATTAAAAATAATATAGTCCCAGTAAACAAATCGCAAACCGTGTGGTCGTGTGATTTTCACAGGAAACAGGTTGTTATCGACGAAAATTAAGACACTACCTAATTACGCATAGCTTTGATGTATTGTACGCACAAATTGTTTATCGTCATGTTTACATAATAAAAATAATTATTTATAAAAACATAAATTGGTCAATTTAAATGTATTGAAAAAGTATAAGCAAAATATTGCACTCTAAACATACATATAAGTTATGAAAAAATTATGAGCATAGAAGGTGCAGATAATTTTTATTATTTAATGCTAGTAGGACAAATATTTTATGTCCTTGTAAAAATCTACTCGGAATACACTAACATACTTACATACTTCTATATATGGAATACATTTACGTATACTGGTCAAACCGCGTACTTTTGTATCGGCGATTAATAGAAACTATATTAGAACTTCTACAGATCACGAAAATGTATTGAATATTCAGTACAATCTACTGCATTTCTTGCACGGTCATACTGGGATTCTTTTTGAGTTATCACTATTTGATATGAATTTTTCCTCGAGGACTTCTCGGATTTTATTTTCTACGCGCATTCGGTATGATTCACTAAAGCGGACATAGTCGTCATGCTCATGTGTGCAACTATGGGAAATCAATAATACAGTTTAAATACTAGTAAAAAATTGTAAAGTACCTGTACGTCTGATAGCCAGGTCGGGCGTACTGTTAAGTAAAAGACGTGCCTGTACTATATAAATCCATAGCCAAAATAACGCATAGAAGAGTCCAACAGGAAAGAAATACATGGACGGCGGTCAAGCGGCTTGGGTTAGAATAGGAAACACGTCTTCTTTTTCGGTTGTCCAAACGCATGTTTTCGAGTTTTACTGCGATCGATTAACTGTTTTTCTCCGATATTCAAGGTGCTCAGTTCGATTCTCAATCAGGTACGGTTTTTTGTAATTTTTTTTTTCCCAAAAAGTGATAGATTTTTTTTTTTTTATTTTTAAGCTAGAGAATTGTACAATCTGTAAAATTACGGTTTACAATAAGCACAAGTGTTAAGGGAGTTAGTATAGAAAAGACAAATAGTGGGTAAATTAACAGACAAGTCAAATAATTACTACTATTTACATCGATTCAGACAGGGGGCTTAAGTGAAGAGACCATCCATTGATGGGACTTCATGAAATTTTGTGGTGGAGGTTAGTCTAAAAGTAGATCACGGCACCATGTTCGTTTTAGAAGCCTTCTGTGGTCACCAGGAATAGTGGGAGAAGATAGTTTCGAAATTAAGGGATTACGATGATTCTGTAGGGTTGGAGTGCATGCGTTTGTAAAAAGTTTTGGCAACGTTTTTAACTGTTTGGATGGAAAGGTCTTTATGGAGAGTATCATTAGAGATATAAAATGGAGCTTTAGTTATTTGTCGTAAGCATTTGGATTGAAAAGATTGAATTTTATTAATATTGAAGGGTTTGGCAGCACCCCATAATTGAATGCCATATGTCCATATTGGTTTGAGGAGTAACTTATATAATAAAAGTTTATTTTTAAGGTTAAGATATTTAGATGTTAAGAGAAAATGTAATTGTCAAGAACAATTGTTTAGAGGAAGCCGTTTGGTGTGGATATGTGTTGCCCAGGTTAGCCGGCGGTCTAGGTGAAGATCTAGGTAGCGAATATTTTGGGCAGGTGGGATCGGAAGGTGATTTAAGTACACAGGAGGGCAAACAGCTTGTCGAAGCGTGAACGTGCAGTGGACGGATTTGTTTTCATTAACTTTTATCCCTCAATCTTTATATCATATTGATAAGCTATTAAGGTGGTTTTGGATGAAGTTTGAGGCCGTTTCAGGGTTTGAGTGGAGAGCCAGGAGTGCCTTGTCATCGGCAAAGTCTCCAGTAGTTGTATGGACAGTGGTAGGTTGATCAGAGATGAATATGTTTAACAGTAGTGGAGCTGCGACTGCTCCTTGGGGGACGCAAGCACAGATCGAAAAAATTTTAGATATGGCTGATCCTGAACGGACAAAGAAGTGTCTGTTTAGAAGGTAAGATTTAAACATTAAATAGTAATAAGGGGAGAGAATGGTTTTAAGTTTAAGGAGGAGACCTTTATGCCAGACTGTGTCAAAGGCTCGTGTCACGTCTAAAAATACACCTGTACAGTGTACATATTAGCTTTTTTTCCAAAGCGTAAGAGATGTTATCAATAAGGCGATGGATCTGGTAAATAGTTGAATGGTTATGTCGAAATTCGAATTGGTTGTTGGGTAGATTAGATTCAATGATGGGCAGGATGCGCTTAAGAATAATTTTTCAAAGATTTTTGAGAACAGCGAAAGAAGACTAATTGGTCTGTATGATTTAGGTGAGTCTGATGGTTTCCCTGGTTTGAGAATCATGATGATTACAGAAAACTTCCATAGGACTGGGAAATACGAAAGTTTCAACATGGAGTTATATATATACGTGAGCATCAGTATGGCTTTTTTGGCAGTTTTATAGCTACTTCAAATATGATTAAGTCATAACCTGGGGTTTTGCGACGAGGAGAGTGGTGTATTGCATGTTCAACTTCACTCGACGAATATGTTTAGGTGGAAGGGTCATAGGCAATGCGCAGGAGAGTGAGTGGATTACTATTTCAATTTGGGTTGGACATATGCTGTGTGGTTGAAAGGTAGAGGCGAGGTGGTGGGAGAATATATTTGCTTTTTCCAGATCAGTGATGGCCCATGATCCATCAGTTTTTTTCAGAGGAAGAAGATGAGGTTGGGAGCGAAGTATTTTTCTTGTAGTTTGCCACAGTGAATTGTCAATAGTGGATAGAAAAACAAGGTGCCTAGTAAATTTTTCTGACCTAATTGAGGCCAAAGTTCTTTTTAGCTTATTCGTTAGATTGTTGAATTTACGTTTATCGGAGAGATATTTTGTTCTTTGCCAAGTGGTGCGAGCTTTTCTTTTTTCTGAGATTAGGGCTCTAATATGGAGGGGTAGGTTCCTAGCATGGTCTTTAGGAGGAATTGG